TTCTCTCTTCGCTCGGCTACGATCAAAGGTACATTCGAATTTATCGAGTTTTCTTCCTTCTTCCATTATCGCGGAGTTGAATCGCGCATATTTCTCGATAGAATTTCGGTAAGATGGCTTACAGAGATTCTATCGCATATCTGGAATACGGCCGGAGTACTCGAGCTTTCCTCCAAGGTGTACTTTTGTTCTCTCCGTTCTAAGCCATCTCAGTCGAGATTTTTGGGAGGATTTCGCACGATTCGCACAACGATACGACAGTCGAGCTTCTCCCTTTGCTCGCTAGAGATAAATGCGAGAGATTTGCCGACGTAAAACGGTCTCATCCTATTCTCTCTCTCTTTTTCTTATATTTTATTAAAAAGTTGAACTCGGTCCGGGCATCAAATCAGTTTTAGAAAGAAAGAAACATTTTTTAACAATTTTGGTAAACGATCTGTAATAAAACTCGCACACGCGGCCCGGTGTTAGCTGCGCTGTAACGAGATTCTACAACATTTCTTTCTTCAAAGATATTTTCTGTAATTTCCATAACTTGGGGAACGTGGTATTAGTTATTAAATAAAAAAATATTACAAATCAATTTAAAAGCGAAAGTTGACAAAACATGACTGAGGAATTTTGTCGATTCCGCGCAATCCCGATGATTGTTCATACTAACTTGATTAGGTAATTAGCCGCACCGCGCGCTCAGTTTGACTTGATTAGATCTGTCTCGTTCCGATACGGCAACGTAACGAACGTGACAAAAAGAACAGCAGCTATGCACGCGGATTAAGCAAATGCTCTTTAATCGAGTATCAAAGCTTTTGTTGTAGTTTTACGGAGTAACGGACGCTCCCAGACTCTACGACCTTTTTTCGTTAAGTGTTGCTTTAATGGGATCCACAAAATATAATTTACTCGGAAATTCAATTCTGTTACGAAGATCGTCGTACACTATGTTCTCTTTATTGATTTTTGTTAACGACATGATAAAAGTTGTAAAAAAATTTAATGTAGGTATTACAACTGAAAAATGTAGATTGTAATCGTATACTACAAAAGAATACGCGAAACAATTCGTTTCAGTTTTGACACTCTCTACATGGTTAGTTTAAGCTGCTATTTAATTAATCGCCGTCATAGTCATTTCATCGAGGAAAAAGGAACGGCGTGATACTGTAGAGAATCTTTGCTGTAAATCCGATTATTTCCTGTCTTTCGTTAACAGACCGGTGAATCTTTAAAAGCGTAACGTTCTGACGTTAACAACGCAAGTTTTATCCCTTTCTAGAAAAGAGATGTTACCGGCGTGAATGTCGTTAATATCGAACAGTTGAGACCTCTTTTTCCGAAATGCAATATGCTTCACCTCGCATAAGAAAGTTAAAGAGAAAAAGACGTTAAAGTTAAATATCTAATTGAGCGAAAAAGAATGAAAGAAATTCTTATTCTTCTATTGAGATACAACGATAACTAATCTTCTTTTTAGAAAGATATATAAGAAGAGATTTAATTATTGACGCTGTTCCGCGATGCTGATTCTCTCGCTTGGCTTTGCACCGCACGAGTAGCTGTCAGTGAGGAGTTCTTGTAACATGTAGGTATTTTGACAGTGAGTCAACGTCAGATTATGTCTTCTTCACATGAAGAAAATCTTCATGTATGAAGATCATGAATAAATAAAAATTAAAACGAAATAGCGCGCGAAATGCTATTTCAGTTACATATTTAACACCAATTTATATTGTTATTAAAATAAATAATATGATAATTTGCCCATAATAAACGAGAATTTGCAATTTAGAAATACACATTTGTATTCATCGACTAAAATCTCTAATCTTAGTAATTGGAATTGAAGCAACAACGATCTTCGTTTCGAAACATTTTCTCGATTGAGCAGAAATAATCGTTAATTTAATCAATACCAATAAATCCGCAGAACGATATACGCAAAATGTAGCAACAATCGCGGATACAGTATTTTCAATTTCGTAGGCGAGGCAACGAACTTTCAACGTTTTTTTCTTGTTTTTCTCTCGACGCGGTATCGTGCGACGTTACGCCGGGCCATTGTTTACCCGAAGGTCGCCGCGTAATCATTCGCTCGCCGAACGTCGTGCCGGCAGGCAGCGGTGAGAGTCGCTCCGTACGTCGTATTACTTTTGCGTTATCGCTTTCCAAGACGCGATCGCGATAAATGTGGGAATAAAACGCCATCGATTCGCACACGTTTATTATTAATAAGTAACGTTCATCGACTAAATATTGTAACTTGTAACGAGAAATAATTTGCGCGTTCGAGCGACGGCTTTTATCAACGTAGATTTAACGAGACAAACTCATCTAATTGTAAGAGACTTTATCGCGATTACATGCTTTATTTACGATATCTCGTTTACGCATCGCGCTTTTAAGTTATCTGTCGATTTCGTGTAATCTGTTCCATTTTCGGGAAAAGAGACAGAAATTCGTACGGCTTTGGGGTTTGCGGTGTAATTTGCTCTGTCGTTCTTCGCGACTCGAACGGGCAGGAAGTAGAGAAAGTCGCTTATCGCACGTTATTACATTATGTAAATGCAATCCATAATTATCTCGATTAACTATTGCAATTAATAACAACTATTTATCGTTGGAGTTTCGCTCACGTAATTCACTTGGAGGATTAGATTGAATGACAATAAAGATTGTTAAGTTTCGTTTCGGACTAACAACCACTTCTTTACCGCAGATTATGCTTGGATTCCGATGCTCGCATTGGTTTGAGTAATTTATACGACAGAAAGACACGCGATATTTGTTAATAATATTTTGTGCGTTTCGCGGTATCTCACATCGCGTACGGGAGTGCCCGAAATTTGGCGCGTGAGTGTTGTGTAAGTGCAAGAAGGAAATCTGAGAGGAGGAGGAGGCTCAGGAGGCATCGGGCAACGGCGGAGCAATCGTGAGGTGAGTGTTTTACAATTTTATATTATTTGCTACTTGTGCAAAATAAAGCATCTGTTCTCTGTTTTTGTTTTATTTAGTCGAATGATTCGAATAAGTTTTACAGACGAAAGCACACGTATAACATTTTGTGAGTTTAAATTTCAAAGGAAGGCTTTTTTTAGAGTATTCTATATTTATTTTAATACACACCTATTTTTAAAAATATAAAATAAAAAATATATTTAATACAATAATTTCAATTTTACGTAATTATTGTGTAATAATCATATACATATTTGTATTTTTACAGGTATGTGATTAACAATGTAGACTAGAACTCTGCTGTAGCGAATCGTATCAGTGAGTGATAAATTACCTTTATTATTTTAAATTGACGTTGCGCATACAATATCTTCTTTGCGTGTATACAAATTCTGAAAAATATATAAGGCTCAATCGTAAATAGCGCGCTCGAAGCGCTTTGTCGTTTCTGTTTTACAACATGAACGGCTGTTGTTATTGATTAGCATTCTGTAGAAGCGCTGCCATTTACTTACTCTAGCCCATTTTTCGTAAATTTAAATGTATATTTTTTAATCGTATTGAAAGTCAGTACAAAAAACTGGCAACTGTTATAACTTATGCAGGTTGATCAAATCTGAAAAGAGGCAAAATAAAGACGGGAGAAATGATAAAATTAAAAACGATACCGCGCGTAGTAAAAGGATCGGTTAAATAAGTAAAGAATGTAAGCGGAGCACTTGAGATTCGTAAGTGCAGGCTGACGTTACTGTGGACCGTAGTTGTTACCAAGGGCAACATTTTACTCGGAAGCGTCAGCGAGCGAAAAAGGCGCATTACACCTTCGGAGTATACCTGCCCTTTCGCGATAAGAGTTCAGAATGTACGATGCGCGTCTATGTCGAATCACTTGATTACGAAGCGACATTCATAGACCGGACGCGTGAGAATGATTAAATTATCGCTGCGTGTAAAAAGGAAGAAAATAAAATCCAGAAACCATATCGAAGAAAAAAATTAAAAGAAATCTTTTCAACTTAATCTTTTACGCAGACATTTGCATGCGATCGTAATCCATACGACACGCGTGTCTAAAAGACACCTTTAGGACATAGAAGAAAGTCCTCTATTATGAGATAGACTTTTAATATAAAAATTTAATCACATGATCTAACAATGAATGTTCCACTAAACAGATTTCACGATGACACCAATAGACGATGCCAATTAATTTAGCAAAAACTCTGCTGTCTCAAATCAGGAGCTTATCTCATAATAGGGGACTTTCCGCTACGTGTTGTTTGTTAAATGCTTTACAACAGGGCTACAAGTGACAATTGACGAGAGAATTTCATCCGATAACGTTTAATTAAACGTGATTGATAAGTCATTGTTATTTCTTCTGATGTGCCTTTCATCAGAAAATTGCAATTATATGAATTCTTTTAGCGTATAATTAAATATGATTGAAATGAAAAATATTCCAACCGCGTCTTCCTCTGTCTGACTTTAATTTTCATTTAAAATGAATTTTTAACTGTACACCGAAAAGCCAGAGCTTCCGTTTCATTTATTAAACATTAATCTCTTGATCCGAACTAAATTAAATCCCACTCTTGATTTCTATTATTTTTGTGTGATTGTAAAAGCATTTGCCGCCCCGATTACTCATATCGTTGATTACGTTTTTTCGATTTGATATAACAAGGTGGGAATACACTGGTAGCGCCGCGTCACGCAAACTCTTGGAACTAACGCGTCCTATGCTTGCCGCTTGTTTCGCGAGATGGCGTTTCCTGGATCAGTCGACTGTACGGCGCACGGCGCACACACTCTTTTTCGAAACCGTGCGCGCTAAATTGTCCGAGATATTCCGTGTTTTTTTTGTATAGTCGTAGGTTAGTTCCGGTTTCCGATCGCGTCTCGCGTCTCGCGTTTTACGTTTCGTTAGCGCTTCGCGTTTATTTGGCGAACAGTGTCACGCTCAAAGTTGGTTACGTAGAGCGTTTCGGGCAATATCTCGGGAGAGGGTGTAAATTGTCAGCGGGCGTTGGAGCACTTGGAATATGCGTCGCACCGAGTTCGTTACGCCATGGATTCGTATGCGGGGGCAGGAAGCTAACATTCGAGAGGAGATGAAACGTTTAATTGTGGTAAGTTTACGACTTCTCCATCTCGTCGCTATCATTTTTGCCGATACTCTTACGAGCATTGCGCGCGATGCATTACGGCGTCACAATCGCGCGGGGAATAATCCTCCGTACTTATTGATAACGAAGGCTGTCTATCTTGATAAACTTTTTAAGTTAACTTGGAAATGATACATGTTTGTTGATTCGTCACTCCATTATGAGAGAAATATTATGCGTCGTCTACAATGCGTGGAGTAAGCCTGGCGCAAGGAGCAAGAGAGAACCATAACCTTTAGCTTTTGGTGTGAGGAAGCTAAAATACAGGTATCATTTGGAAAATATTTGTAACACTGGCCGATGGCGTTCCGATTCGCCGAGTAGGAGTAAGAAATAAATTGATTAATTTCCTTATTCCAGGCTTACTCCACGCATTGTAGACGACGCGTTAGAATCGTGTTGCAAACTCGGTTGCTTGCACTATTTAGCCAAAAAACTGTCCCGTACGGATGCCATTCGGATAATTTTACAGAGTATTTCAACAAGTATTGAGTGCGCAAGCAACCGAACTCGCTAGTACTTGAAACAGTGGTTTAAAGCTCTATAATATAGGACTTATAAATGAACGTGGATATATCGGCAAGTTGATAAATTAATAACAAGGCGGAGCCAACGAGCGAGCGATACTCGACGACGTATTTCGGTAATCGCAAGCGGGAGAAGAGAATTGCTGACGCGAGATCGGCCTACGATCGTTTGCACGACGTAACTCCCTTCGATCCGAGTATACCGCGATGTGATCGCACCAAGCCGAGTCTCATTTGGGCGGAGATACACGAGGAGGACAAACGTCACGTCGTGCCAATGACTGCTAATCACTGGTACGGTCGACCGAATAGAGTCCAAATCGATTATCCCGACATGAGATTTGCTCGATCGAGCAAAACCAGGGATTTCTATAGTCGCGGCGGTCTCGTTACGACGCCTGATAGAATGGAACGAGGAACTTGCTAAGTTGCCGACACACACCTTTGCTTCGAAACGGGATGTTGGATCTGTATACATTTTTATCTCGAGACAAAATACAGCTGCAACAAATATACAAAAATCAATTTCGAGTACGTGAAAAACTGTTTTGTTTTCTTCACGTCTTTTCTACTTGTCTTAGCTATCGTAGCGATTGAACGTCTATCGATCCTATTGATCCTATCCAAGCAAAATCTGCGGAGGCATTAATTTTCTGGGATTTTACGCGCGGCGCTTCAAGTTTCGATCACACCTGGTTAAAATTGGAAGTAAGTTTCGATACGATAAATGGACATTTGACACATAGGACAGAATACGCTGACGCAATTGCCAATTAATATTAGCATGCTGCGTTGTGTTTTCAAACATTGGCTAAACGTGTAACAATATTGACAATGTATAGGATTTGTCCGGGAGCACAACGGATAAAATGAAAGTACGGCGCCGCAAAAACCGCGCGCCTCCCTCGATTTACAGACTACGATGCATAGCGTTTTTGATTAATGAATTATTTTCGTTGCGGTTCGATAAATATTTTTTTACCTCGACGAGGAAATCCTGCAACCTTCGTATCATTCAAAGTGAAATTAAATTGGACCATTTTTTATCTATAAGAAAAAAACATACACGTTTCAGAAAATTACTTTTCGATTCATATATCTTTTCATAACGTCAATGATCTAATTGCCAGGCAATGTTTTATTACTACATTTTATTTTGTATTTAAAAGTTTAATATTACGCAATAAACGAGATATTCGGTTATTTTATTATACAGTATACTTTTAAAATATTTCATATATCAAAAAATTTTATATTTAAAGCAAAATAGTTTCAGTTTTTTATATGATGTTTTTATATTTTCCTAAAATTTCTCTCCCTCTCTCTCTCTCTCCCTTCCCTTCTATTATTGCATGCTGAGAGGAATACGGTGTTTACTATCAGGATTTATTCTTCAGATAAATCGGTGAAAAGGATTCTATGTACATAAAAATAAAATATAGATATTATCATAAAATTGCCTTCAAGACTTGATAGTACGCATCGATCGTCCGGGATATAAGTTTGATGTTTTTAAAATTAAGATTATATTCGCGGATATTTTTCTGAAGCACCGCCGTAGAGATTCTTCATTGTATGTATACATCTTTAGATTCACAAGCATCTTATGTTTACAACCGATACTTGGTAACTAAATACAAAAACGCTACGCGTTTTAACAGCGCGTGATGATTTGTACACCTTGAATTACTTGTCGCAGCCTTAATAACAATTTAAGATTTTAATATACAATATTTTTCTTGTCTTTGATTGAAACAATAGTATCTCGTATTTTTCAAAGCTATTTGTGGACATCTCCTGCATCTCTAGGCATTTCTGCTTTCTTTACTGTATCGCGGAAGTGAGGTTGATACCGGGATTGCTTTACTTCCGAATACTCGAAAGGAAATGCCACGGGGAGAGAGAGAGAGAGAGAGAGAGGAGGGGGGGGGGGCACGTATACAGACACGTATAAATTTCCGTTCTCGGCTCGCAACTCGGCATCGAGTTTCATGCGAAATGTCGCGAGATCTTTGAAACTCAAGACTCGGGAAGTGCGCCGACTTTAGCCGGCGACGTTTGTCAGAAAGAAATGTTTCTTTACCGCCGTTTATACACGTCGCGAGAATAATACCGGGGATTTAACATTGCACTCTTCTCTATGATATGCGTAGAATCGTCGTAGCTTTCGATGCTTAAACGCCAGATATTAAAGATACAACCCGCTCGCAGAGAGACATCGCTTCATCGCGGCGATAAGCCAGCTGTTTGAAGCGGTCGTTGCATATTTTAAAGGGAGTGTTTCTTGACGTGATTACATGTGTAAAAAAAAGACGATATGAAGGACGTGCAATGGAATAAATAACACACAGTATAGGGTATCATTAGATCGATGTAAGGTTCGCCGGGACTTTGTCTAGACGCAGGTATAATCGAAGGCGACATGAATCGTAAATTCGATTACGAACGCAGAGCTCGGCGTATTGCTTTTCTCGCGAAAGCGCATTTCATTACAGTGCGAAGAGATAGAATTTGGGTTGCTCGAAAAGAAGGTTCACCGTGCAAATGACGTTAGCCATTTAGTATCGAAGGTAGAGATGAAAGGGAATTCGCGCGACTTTGCACGAATTGCTAATCGCTACTGAAGACTGTGCAAATTTATGTGCATTAATGGGCGTCGACATTACTTGTACTACCTATAGGCAGTTAAATGATTAGAGATACGAGCAATGTGACACCTGTTCGCAAATCGTTGTTTATTTCCGACTCGTTAATTAAAAGTCTAATTAGTACCACGTCAATTAATGAGAATTCTACTTTTGCTGGGCTCTACGTGGCCGTTCGCTCAGAAAAAGGAAAATGTCGACGACGTTTTCCTGGCACTGTGTGACGTCCAGCAATTAGAGACTTCTCGTGACCTCTTTTTTGTCATTATTTATTTATACGATGTAATGTACAATTTTTCGAGCAAGAGAGACTTGAAGCGAATTTAATCTCTTAGCAACGTTGAAATCACGAAACTTTAAACGAGTTATAATACTTGGGAATTTTTTGGAAACGCATATTCGCGCTATTAAAACCTGTATTTTAAGCATTAAAAGAAATGGATTAGAGTTTAATGTGTGAGGAATAGAAAAGAATGAAATTTCTGATAAAATTTGGTACTCTTTGTCACAGTAAAATTGACGACGCTTAAATTTTGCGATAGGCGAAACAGTACGCTAGGTGAAAAACCTTGCAGAGTTACTAGGAGTAAATTGAAATGGTTTCACCATCATATACATTGATATTAGCGGGCTCGTCTCCTAGCTTCAGGACGCAGTTAATCGAATTACCTTTGGTGCCGTAAAGTAACGAAGCCGAAAGGGCTATATAGTGTGTGACCCCATTAATAGTTGCTTCCGAGAAGTTAGATACGTTCGCAGTAAGGAATAAATTTTGGCGGTTACGAGGCCTCGCACAAGTTTCTCCTTTCAATTGTTTTATAGCACCCGACGGACTTTAACGGGTTTCTTTGCCTATTACGCTTATATCGTCTCGTTCCTTCCTTCGTCCTTCGGGCGCACAACAGTCACGCGGCTCGATTCCATCGCCGCGTGTAATTTTGTTAAACGGTCTATATACACTTAAACGTATATATTTTAGCGGGTCACGTAACACACATAATTACCGTTAACGGATCTATTTTCCCAAAGCTGTTTAGCTGGCGTCGTTGACGTTAATTAGTGGCCGTGCAAGTTTGGTGCGGATTAATTGTTAACAATAATACGCTCGCGTACACGTAATAATCTAAAGTTGCGTTTTCGATGTTTCGACGATAGCCAACTATAATCTAATATTTGTTACTCGATGAGTCGATTACAACCGCGATATACAATCTCCATGGTTCTAAATTGGCGTGTTTCCGCAAAATCCACAAACTGGTAATTATCGTAACAAGTGCTCGTCATGGCGGGATATATATCCCAAGATAAATACTAGAAGCCGCAAGTATTCGGGCGTCAGCCCGCAACATTTTTCTCGAGTCGACCACACTCGGTGCGGTGGCGTCAGTAAATTTCCGGTACGCCGACACGCTATCGCGATACACTTTTTTTTTTCCCCCTCGGAACGGCGCATATCGTGAGATTCGTTTCCTCGTCACATCGCTAAAGTATATCGCGGACAGATTTACAGCGTGACATAAATTATATCAATCCGTTTGAGATATTTATCGCTGCGTCAGTGCCGAGCTGTCTATTTGCAATCTCTAAACCGTTGTACGAAGACAGTATGTTAAATATTTGCGTCTCTCCCCCCCCCCCGCCAAGCTTTTATTTCCACTTACGAGATGATACGAGAGTCGCGGTATAAATTGGGCGTACGGTCGTCGCGATGTTGCCCGACAGACTAGACAAGCGGATGCGATATGGCGGCGATGAATGTCGACAAGACGTGCTCCGTGTTATCGATTTCTCGGCAGGATCGTCGGGAAACGTCTCTTTTGAACGATTGTGACATTAATAAAATACTGGAGCGCAAATTTGGTAGCGGTAACCCTCGACTTGTCGACTGGAAGTTGGAGCCTCTCGACGGAGCGAGAGGTTTCCTCGGCCAATATTATCATCTTCACATCATGGTGCGGATCGACGACAAGATGCAAAGTTTGCGGTTCTTCGCCAAAGCTCCGCCGCCGGATCACAGCCCGCAGTTCGAATTTCTCCAACGGTTCGACACGTTCAACAAAGAGATCTCCGTTTATACGGATTTGGTGCGGCAGATGGGTGCGGGTGAATCCCCAAAGTGGATGGTGGAGTGTTACCTTTGCAAACGAAACGCCATCATCGTTCTGGAGGATGCATCGATAGATGGTTATGCCACGTTGAACAAATACGTGCCGTTCGACCACGAGCACTGCGTCTGGCTAGTGAGAACTCTTTCGAGGCTCCACTCGAGGTCTCTGCTACTGGACGAGAGACTTGGCCGGACCATCTTCGATCTTTACGGACACCTGCTGAACGAAGTACTCTTCGTCGAGGGGGACGACAGATCGGAAAGGGCCCTCGCCTCCAGTATTACAGGCCTCTGCGTTATGGTCGATCTTATCGAACAACTTGACGACAAAGAGAAGATCGTTGTCAAACGCCGAATCACCGAATGGTCTCGAAAAATGTCGCGTTTACTGGCTCCGTCGAGCGAACATAGAAACGTTATCTGTCATCGTGACATGTGGGCAAACAATATTATGTTCCGGTATGATCTAGCCGGCAACGCGAACGGCTGTTACTTAATAGATTTTCAGTTTCTTCGTTATTGTCCCCCGGCTATCGACTTTGCGTGCTGTCTGTATCTAACCACCGATCGAAATACCAGAGATCGTCATTTCGACTTCTTCGCCAGAACTTATCACGATTCGTTCGCGCGGGGCCTGGCGGAGGAGGGTTTCAACGTGGAGAATTATCTATCCTGGACGGCATTTCGGAAGAGCTACACAGAGGCGCGAAACATTGCGCTTGTTTATGCCGCGCTCAATCTGCCAATAATGCTACTATCACAGGAGGCATCCTCGGAATATTTCTACGACTCGACCGAAAAACTTGAGCAAGTTTTGTACGGGGACGACCGAGGGGAACTCATGCTGCATCAATGCGAGAAGGAGCCGGCGTACAAGTTGCGTATCGTTGAGATTCTATGTGAAATCAAGGACCGTCTGCCCGAGCATCCGCCGAATCTGTAATTTTCGTAGACCGTGAGATACGGCGTATTCAGAAACGTGTGTCGCTCGTACCCGTTTTACGATTTGTGACAAAAGATTGAACTAGTGCCAAGTACGAACCTTATCGTCGATACCTTATTTACAATTTTTCATTGCTCGTAAGTTTCGAGAAACGTTAGGTTATTCAGAAGAAATGGGTTCGCTAGAGTGAAAAAGAATTTTCCGATACAATGAAACATGTAAATTTATTAACAAACTGCAAACTGTAATTATTTTCTTCATCTTTTATACGATCTTTTAGTGGACTAATTACTTGAAGAAATTACTTATTATTGGTTTTCATGTCATGCACAATTTAGCACATATATGACTTTTCAGTGACGATTATGAAAAATATCTCGAGAGAAATAATGTACAGCTTTGGTGAAAAATATTTGCCACCTATGTATGTGAAACTTGGATAACTTTTAAGTATTTTACATTTAGGTTAAATAAACAATACCAGTTGACATTCAGCTTTTCCATAACGATTTATGGTGTATCACACAGTACTATGAGGACATTTCACTAATTTTGCGATTTGTGTTTTATTTTTCCTTCCTCAAAAAGTATTTGTATCTTCAAACCTTTAGCTAAATCCAATTCGCACGTTTTTGGCATTTTTGTAGCAAAATAATATTATTCTTTAGACTAAGTCACTATAAGTTGGAGATTATTACATAGTTGGAAAATTTGTGTTAAATTTAACAGATATCACATGTCCCAAACGGTCCACACAAATTCTTGTGTTAATTTAACATAATATGGATATAAATTAAATAATCACACTAATACTCCGTTAATATTTTAACACAAAATAAATACAAATCTGAAAATAATTTGAAATAAATTTTGTGTAAAATTTAACATATTTTTTTATGACAAAATGAATTTAAAAATGTAATTTTTACATTTTACAGATGTAATAAGTCAAATCACGGTTCGAAATCACTCTCACTTATATTATATAGAATAAAATCAACATTTTATTCTGTAAATTTTAACAGATAAATTTTGTTACTAATAAAATGGAACATATGTATTGTGTGAGATTAAAAAATAAGTACACATTGTATTGTTTTAACATTTCTTTTCAGTTATTTTAATAATTTTACATTTGAGGTCTCAATTAACACAAGAGCAATATATTAAATTAACACATGAATGCGTTACACATTTAACACAAAAATTTTAACCGGCATTTTTTTAAACAAGAAAACGAAATTTTCCAACTGTGTAAGCAATGTGCAGGCTTGGAGCGTCCGCAGTAAAATTAAACTAAATACTTGGAAGCAAAATTTAAGTTTACTTGTAAACGTTTCGCGACTTGTCCTTGCGTGTTGATGATGCGATACTTTATTCAAGTTATTCAGTTTAGTGTGCAGGTACGTAACAATTAACAAAATGGTTGGAGTCAAAAGAAGTTACATTTCTAAGAATTGAAAGGGTGGCAAATACTTTTGACCAAGGCTGTATGTCAAAAATATAAAAGATGTTAGGTCTCGACCTAGTTTGACATTAAAACATATATTGGGCGGGCAAAGAAATATTGGAATCTCTGCTTTTCAGTTATAATTGATGATGGAGAAATGTTTCTGATGCAAATGGACGTATAAGAGCTTTCCCATGGGAATTTTATTTTACTCATTTTTCAAACGCCATCATTACGTCTCGTTCCTCTTTCTTGAGAGTTTCTCTTCAACTGCATATTCATTAGTGCATTAGTAAAATAAGTAGAGAGTATAGCATATCTTTATTTAAATGTAATTTTGTAATTTGTTTCTTTGTAATCGACTATTGCACATTCAGTTTATCGAAGAGAATTATTTCCCTTCGGTCATCTTATACGTGTTATCTTTCCTCGATTGTATTATTATTTATTCAACACACGGTTATTCGCAAAACTAATTTTATGTTTAAAACCGCTGTGTGACGTAGCACTTTGCAAACTTGAACGAAATCATCATTCCGTATTACGTCAAACTAACTTTGTCGTGAAGAGAAAAAGGGATTACGCTGCGTGATAAACTTTAGAGCAGACGGCTAAAAAAGAAAGCTTGCCGAGGAAAGGAAAATCTAGGCATTTAAAATGAATTTATGTTATTGGTATTTTATACGTTTACATAAAAGACATATATTTATATTTATTTTAGAGAGAGAGAGAGAGAGAATTATAATTGCTTGCTAATTTATGCATATCGTATGTTAAAGAGAGTGTCTCATAATTATCTAGAGAAATCTCTAGATAATCTCTAGAAGAAAAATATGATTGTATATTTTATACATTATAAAACAAGAATGATACGAAACCTTATTACAGATTATTTTCTAAAAATGTTAATGAAAGACCGTACCAAGTTGTGTGCAGCTTGTAATGACTGATTCGAACGATGGATAATTCTTTTTGAACGGCAGAGTTGTTGTTCGCGCGTCCAATGATACTCTTGACGATAAAATGATGAAAAAAAAGAAGCAGACTTAATGACCCGTGACGCTACGTCAAATTAAAGCGGAAGTTCCTTTTATTGTCGGCTATTTAAAGCGCGCGTTGCCGCCATTGCGATGTACTAATGATATACTTGCTTACGGCGTAAACTGTTCCGACCGTCTACAAGATAGATATTTAGAGATTGCAAATAGTTATTGCGCCGGCTATAGCTTAATTGACTATATAGTCGTGATAACTTGCTGAATGCGGATTAAACCTGATCTATCTCGTTGATTTTCACTCGACGGCCCACGAAGCCGCCGTCTATCTAGAATAGTGTTATGATTTCATTATACGTAGCAATGTGCATCTCTCTTTAACGCCGTGACAAAGAGCTCGATAATCTTTTATAATAGAACTCGCGCGGGAGTGTATCGACTACCGAGTGTATCGCATCGTTATGAATTTCGCGGCGAGTCGATCGTTTATAATATCCATCTAAATTGGTAATTTCCTCGCCGCGATACTTTTATCGATCTAGACGAATCTCCGGTTGGGAAAGTATAAGTGAGAGACTTGTCCAGCGCTCGAAAGACAAACCGAGTAAAGACTTTCGATCGACAATGGAATAATTGGTCGAGTCCGTTGGAATAAACGATGGTAGGGAGTGTGAGCAACTTTCGACCGCGTCCATGATACGTACATTCATCTCTCGGAATACCAGGGTCGCGGACGCGCTGTTTATGCGAAATCCTGTGGCTCGTGGTGGCGAGAACGGAGAGCGCAGGCGTCCGGACTCCGGAGTCCTGTGGCGGCAAGCGAAGTCCGATTTTCTCTAGTGTCGCGTCAACTGCCGCTGGAGAGTCGTGTGCATCGCACCCTGTCGGCTGTGCTCAACAACCCCTTCTTTGCGTGGCGCGTAACCACGTTCGCTGCGTTGAAAGTTGCGGAATTAACAAGTACTTGCTCGGTGCGCCGAATTTACATCTTGCGTGGGACACGCGAGCCTTAAATGCTGTCGTCTCTTGTTGACATCGTGCACTTACAATTAGTGTAACGAAGCTGCTCTCGCGCGCCTGCTTCGCTTCGTAATTAATTGGAGATCGGGAAGAATAGTCTCCCTAGACGATGACTGTCTCCTCGTGATCGGAATCCCGGGATCAGACTCGAATTTTCAAGTTACACGTGAATGAGAGAGCCCCCGTGCACGATCGGAAGGGCGAGTATCGTGCGTGCGTTTTTCGGGAACGCGATCGTTCAATATGACTGGCGGGCGGCGCGATCTCGCGTGGTGGCGATTTCGTTGATCCCATTTCCGCTCGTTTGCCGCTCGGAAACGTGACGTATTTGCGAAGAAGTGCATCGATCATGAATTGGTGCGACGTACGAGCTTACGCGGATTCGGTCGACAAGTCGTCCGCACGTCGAGGAATGTTCGCATCGGAATCGGCCGCCAAAGCATGAGGGACGACGCATTGACGTAATGGTGAGCTCTCATTTCTATCGCCTTGTCCGCAATTCGTTATCAAACCTTCGTAAATATCCGTAAAGACGGATGTATCGGAACAAATATTTCTCGTTTAAGAAGCGATCGGCGGAGCTTAATTGTTTGTCTGTTGTTGGTGCGCAAAGTGTAAATGTACGTTATAAAATTGTAGATGGATGAATCTCCCCTATAGGACGTAAAACGCGCGGTACAATTTACATAATATCAATTGCTACCGACAGTCATCTTCGCGTTGAAAGAGTTGACCTTTTATCGGAGAGCGCGGAAGGATAGAAAATGGCGTGAGAGAGTTTCGGAGCCATCAGCCATTAATGGCACGTGTCGAGGCATGCAATCTACATACCTAAGTATGTACATAGGCGACGCTGAGCACAATGGTGATCTGCGATTTCAGATTCTATGTTATTCTGTTCCGACTTGACGCGTGCATTATCAGATAGTAACCGTGTGCGATTGATCCGCACAGGAAACTATAATTGTTCGATCGATCGCACATTTATATATTACTCGAGAGAGCAACTATTTTACGTTTATAATAATATCGATGTACACGTGACAATTTCATTGGGAAACTAGAATTTTTTATTATTCGATATTTAAAAAATTGACATTCTTTAATATCTCATACACCGTATTTATACTTTCTATTTAAACAGCGCAATTTATTTTAAAATACGTTTAACGTTTTCGCAAAGATCCTTTTTCGTTGTAGTATAATGTTATAATTTCATCTATTAAATATTAAAATATTTAAATATGTCTTCTGCATGCAGAACGTTGTGTCAGATATGTCGTATAAATTGCATACTTTTTTCAAGTATTTGTAACGAATGCCTTGAAACATTTGGGCTCTAGTTTTTGGCGTCAGATCTTCAACGGCAGTTATTTTGGTTTCGTTATTCCTTGACGATAAAATAAAATGCTTTCGATACTTTACTACGATACGTATACGTAGCATTGAATTGGCAAGTTTTAAGCTTTCAAAGCGAGAGATTCGGCCGTCAAGCAAACAGAGAATATCTCTTGCCAGCAATGATTTATTCGACGTTCACAGAATGACAGCGGGTGACATTCGTGTGCGCCCGACACGCGTACGACGTATGCGTTCAAACACGTGACGGGGATCACCATGAGCCCTGACACTCGTTGCACGACTGACTTTACAAACGCGATGTACATACATACGCGGCACAAAGTTCACAATCTGCCGAAATATATCTTTCGCCTAAAATGTCTTGTTCTATTTTTGGCATCGACCAATTTTTCAGACACCGTTTCAATTTCTTTTAAATAATACACGTGAAATATGTATAGACATAATTTTTACTGAGACAAAGAGGTGTCTGTAACGTGCATTTTCATTTACGACTGAACATAATTAAACGTGTAGAAATTGCTTAATAATCCTAACCGCTTGTCAGGCAAAGCTGTGTCAATTTACCCCGATGTCTCATATCCACGAGCAGGTTACGTGACGCATTAGACTTCATACACATATAGAACATATGCATGCCTGGTTCGAGATAAACCGCTGCGAGCTAATGGCATTAAAATGTCTCGCGACTAATTCCCTTTTGGATGTATATAGCATAACTGT